TATATAATATATCAATACTTATACGTTAATATATGTAAACGTATATATAAAATATAAGAATGCATATAACTAATTAAATCATTTTTTGCCGCATGTGATATAGAAGAAATATAAGAAAATACTATACATTTACATAAAATATGCAAAATATATTTAATAAGATAAAACAAGATAAAGTAATGCCCACGGGGCATTAGTGGGCATTGGTGTACAAGATTTTGGTCACACAGCGGTTTTTCCCTCATGCCTGCATATATAAAATTAAATAGAATAATCTATCGAATATAGCGTGTCGGTTATACACGGTATGATCACAGGTTTCACTGCCTTTTGCACGAGATAAGTGTATTACACAATAAACAGTGTGCGATACATAAACTCGATGAACATTAAAAAGATTTTTGTGACCGAATATTCCAAAGACATTCTCGACGAATATTCTAAAAACGTTCTTCTTTGTTATGAATATACGATTTATAACTGTAATGAACTATATTTATAGAATATTCGATTGGAATATTCTGAAATTAAGAATATTTGCACCCCAGAAGAATATTCATAGAACTATGTGCGCTATCTGGGAGACTACGTGATTTTCATTGTAGTCAATGGGAATTAAACTGACTTTTCGCTGTGAAATTTGTAATAAACCGCCACATTTAACACTATATGGATTTATGTAAATCCATTTGGAATCTATTGTTGAAGTGGTTTTATTTAATCTATACGATGCAAGATATGTTATAAAACACGTTTGAAAACACAGCTTTGCAGCTATATCGACCTTATAATCGGCACGAGTATTATGCTGCTCGCTAAGGTTGAATGACAGCGTAGGAACTGCTATACCAGTGGACACAACTGTTAAAAGTTGATACTGTCTAATGACAAGAACGTAACGAAGAAAAAAAACATTTCTATCTTTCATCGATAATAAATTATGTAGTAGGGGATCATATTGTAATATTAAATATTACAAATGTTTCATCGCGATATTTGTGTTTCTCGTAATTGCTAAGACGCTAAGGCACTGTTGATAAGCCGAGGTTTTCGAGTGAAATTCTCCATTTCTTAGCCCGACAAAGATATGGAATTATTACTGCTATGTTACGAGGGGACGTTCGTTTGTCTCGTTTTTCTCCGCGCGGTATTGCCAATCCCGCTATTGAGTATAGAGAGAAGAAATCGAGTTTAGTATGATAGATTGGGCGGGTTGACAGCATCACGACGGTCTTTCCGTCTCCTGTCTCGCTCCAATCTTGACTAAGGGTGGTCCGCACCGGGCGCGTCCCCATAGAGACCCTCTATTCCGGACCCTCTGAAGCACGTTATGGAAGCAGGCAGGGAAAAAGGAGCGCTATTGTAAGTCCTCGGCCAACCAAAAAAGTTAACCAACCAAAATCTAGCGAAATCGCCCCACTGCTCCGCTCCGCCCATCTCGTTATTTCTTTCGAGTTTTCTCGTTGTAACGTATTCGCGGTGTACTCGCCCAGCTCTAACTGCGTTCAATTAATTGTAACGCATTTGAAAATAACTTCCGTCCTTCCTAGTGACGCACGATTATTACTAGAGGAAAGTCCTCTATTAGGTGATAGGCTTCTAATATGAGACAGCAGGTTGTCAACATACAAGTTAATTACAAATCTTTCATCGCAACGAGTACGCGATCAATTTTCCTCTAAACGGATTTCACTCCAAGCAATACATTCACGATGAAACCAATAGATGATTTATTAATTTAGCACAAAACTCTGCTATCTCATATTAGGAGCTTATCTCATAATAGGGGACTTTCTTCTACATATAATTTGATAATATACGATATTATGTATCTTATTGGCTATTTAAATATCACTTCTATTATTTCTTTTCTAACCTCGCAACGTGTTTTGTATTGATACTATATTATTTATTATACAGTAAGTAGTTGCCATGAAAGAGCTTACAGAATATATTCTAAAAACTTTCAATTGCATGTAGCGAAGTAGCTACTGAAAATATACTTGTAGCAAAATCGTGATAAAAGACTCGTCGAAGAAAATTGAATTGTACTCAGTGTATCAAAAACATCAAGATGTAGCGGCAGGAGTAAAAACGAGAGGGGTTAAACGAGGGTGACAAAGTTTCATTTCGGTTTGCATGCTTTGCTGCAATAAACGTCAGTCCCTTTAGTGCCTACGATGGCGTTATTAATTCGATTATAATGAGCTATTAAGTGAAACGCTGGTAATTCCGACAAGCTCCATCCAACGACTAGGCTCACACTCACTCTCTGAGTTAGGAGATTGCGGGGAGCACCACGGCCGTTAAGCAAATTAGTGTGAAGTTAGGGGAACTGTTCCGGCCTTTTTAGGCATTATTTTCAATGAACCGCGCTACGTCACTTTCACGGTCATCAATTCGACGTCAGCGCAATAGATACGTGCACATTTTCGCGAGAGTTTGTTTGTCAAAATGTCAGTTATAAAAATTATACATACAATACACACAAACACATATATCATATATATAAATGATTATATATATATAATCATTTTTTATTAATAACGTAAAGAATTATTTTAGTACATGATTAACCAATGTAGAAAAATTGTTAAACAACGCTAACTGGCAAATTCTAATTAAAGAAATTTATTGCGGAAAATATTACCTCAGCCAGGGTTCAATTTTTTAATTAAGTTGTCAAACTGCTCGCGAGCATATCTATTGACTAAATTTCGAATTGGTTTACTCGCAATGAAATTACTCACGCATCAATATCCTTTTTAAATTATAAGCAATTAAAACTAAAGAACTTTTTGCGAATTAAGTTATATTGATTTAATTATATTATGTAATTATTAAAGATTCGTGTAATTATGTTGTTTATACACATTTTACTTAACGAACGATGGAACGGACGATATTAATTAGAGCTTCGTGGTTCCATGCGATAATGTTTATTGCAAAATAGATAATATGCAATAAACAAGGAAATACAAACAAGTGTATTTTCCTCGTGCAAGTACAAGTAGACTTATTTAATAAATTTATTATCTTATCATTGCTAAGAATTAATCTGATAAATTAAAGTAATAAGGTGGTTTTATTTAATCGAAAATCTTATCGTAATCTGTTAATGTTCTGTTACTATTGCATGTACAATATAAATTTGATATGTCACATATATGTAAAGATTGCGATAAAAACTGTACAGTACCAATATTAAAAAATACGTTTGTAATCGTCTTATCACGATACATGCGTAATATCTTTGTTAGAAAAGTTTCTATCAAGGTCAGTTAATTTATTAAACGATATTAATTTATTGCAAGTTCAATTTATAATAAATTTTATCTAGATATACAAAAAATTATCTTTTATTCTTAGAATATTGGATAAATAAATAAATCTTACGATTAGACAAATATTCGATCCAAATAGACACGGCAGTAAAATGTAGTTATTTAAAACCATATTGTGTTATATTGTAAATGTGTAATTATTTAAGTAAAAGCGTATTTTGATGCAATTAATTTAAGATACTAATTTGCATATAATAATAAATTATTTTGGAATTATAAATAAGCGTATAAATCTTTACGTAATTTATGATAGTAGTGAAAGATGTTTTTCGATGTGAATATTTTCTATTATTCGTTTCATGAATGCAATCTTATCTATTAAGATAGTCTGTCATAGGTGTAACCGACAGTCAAATTGTAAGGTAAGATATCATGCGTGCTGATAAGTTTTCGTTACAAATTTCTTGAAAAACAGTATTTATCTCAGAATTCATGTACACTTCGGCTTCATGTATGATATTACGAGTCTGTTATTATAAACTCATTTGCTATTCATTTATTATGATTTTATTTACGATAAAAGTGTAATTACGTGAATTAAAAAAAGTGCATTTACAATAAATAAGAGTTAAAAATGGTCGAAACGACCATTGTTTGATAAACTTAATTCACATTAAGTTTAACAAATTGAATTTAATTTCCTGGAGTTAAAGACTTTATTTATGTAAATATTATCTTGAAACAGTAAGATAATGGATAATCGATAGAGGAAAATCGATAAAAAGTACGGTAGCAAATCGTAGACTAATGACAGTAAGGTTTTATAAGGCCAGTATTATTGGGTGGTGCGCGTATGATTAATGATTATGGCAAACCGAGATTACATGTCGCACTTTATTAATTCTCGTACATACAGATTGTTTGAAAGTCACTGACTTGGCGATTACGGAATAGCACGTCACATTTTGTCTTTGACAAACTGTCCGCCTTGTTTGTCAATCTTAATTGAAGACTATCTACGTAAAAATTGTTGATCTTCTATCAAATGCTACTTTACGAAGTAATACTTTGACGTATTGAATTTATGTAATGTGTCTTCAACAAGGCACGATTGGATCAAATTGTGCTTCCAGGAACTGAGATTGCTTTGTCAGCAAACGCAGCGAATAAACGTATTCTAAGAGCTTTTCAATGGTCAAGAAATGAAGGATTATTTAAATGTAGGGTCATACGCAATACTTTATGAGAATGTAATATTTGTTAGATGTAAAATGCATCATAAAACGTTTATACACACAAAATGTAATAAGGATTTAAATAAATAATAGCATAAATTGCACTAACATATTTTTCTATTTTCGAAAGTGACAAAAATTTTTTATCAGCAATATCAATTAGAGCGAAGATTACGATTTTTAATATTCATGATAGTATTAGAGATGGCCAAATTAAATCGAATTCCCAGGACGATATAATTTTGAAAACGGTGGCGCCGCTATTCAGCAATGACAGTTTCTTAAATAACGAGGCCGCGAGAGACAAGACAGCCATGATTCTGCATCTTCGTACTCGAAGCTAATCAAGCGATGAACGAGGTTTAACGAATGGCTACCGGATCGCGCCCACAGAATACCTAATTTCACGCTAGTTTGCTCGCTGCACATAGGCGTCGACTTGACCGGAAATTTAAGGCAAGTATGAATAGTGGCCACTTACCGACTGGCTTCGGTACGTTTCTCTTGACCTGCATCCACTTGTACGTAGGTACTTGCGCCTGTTGTTGCTGCTGCTGCTGCTGCTGTTGCTGCTGCGAATGATGCGCGTGCGAATGCTGCTGCTGATGATGGTGCCCGTGCTGATGGGGATGCTGAAGGTGACTGGACTGCTGCAAAATGTGATAAGTAGCTGTGTCCGAGCTCTCCTCTTTGTAATGTCCCGGCGGGTGCGTGGAGAACTCGCTTTGCTGAATCTGCGTCTGATAATGCAAAGATTCGTCCGAGGAGGACAGTTGATGAAGATAATTCGAGGTCCCGGCGACTGCTATTGGATAATCGGGTTCGTGGTGGTGATGATGATGGTGGTGATGGTGATGACTAGAGGATTGATGGTGGAGTTGCTGATCGTGTTCCGTTCTTGGATGACTAGTTGAGGGTACCGTGGTTTGATGGAGGCTGCTACCGCCGGCTGGATGATGGTGATGATGATGATGATGAGGATCCTCTCGGTAAGCAGCCTGTTGAACGTGGTAACTTTGATGCGGATCCACCGGGGCTACTGCGTGTTGCTGTTGATTCGAGTACGACGAGGACGACGCGTAATCCAGATTGGTGTAGCTCAGACCATTCTCCGAGGAGATTATCGCCGTGGTAGAGCCGTTCTCGTGGAGAACGGCGCCCGTCGGGGAGTAGAAGCCTTGAGGCGGCGTACTGGACGACGTGCCTGAATCAGCGGTTAGGAAACTCTCGGAAGACGATGAAGAATATGGCGCCACTGCAGTCTGGGGGTAGTAATGAGTTGGAGCTACCTCCGGGGACGGCGGCACAGACACGTGACCGCCGACGGATGACGGCTGGTGATGGTGATGATGGTGATGATTTCCTTGACCCGAGAACACATAGTTAGGATATGAGTCAGGTTTGCCATAGGTCCCGTACATGCCCATGTCCATCATCATCATCCTCGTAACGGAGAGACGAATCAATTGACCACCCACTGTTTCGGCAACTCCGATGCGTACTGTCCAAGTGGAAACGAGAGAGATGATTTACATCATGGCTAAAATTGTACACTGCTCTCTAAACTCATCATTTCAACATCGCGTATGCAAATTTACAATCCCTTAGTATTATATAAATAGACACGAAAGAAGGGACATTTAAATTTGTCCCGCTAAACGAGTTCACGAGAAGCACAGAATTAATCAATACTCGGCAAGATCTCGAACGAAAGTCTTAAACGGAGCAATAAATGTCCACAGGTTGCACAAAATGTAAAATCACAGAAGCAACTAATTGCAAGTATTAAATCTTCGAGTTGTCACAAGTGTGCACTATAATATCACGCGGAAGGTATGCGGTAGCTTTGTAAAATTTTGCTTTGTAAAATTTGATATGCTCCGAAAGTGAGCGGTTTACAGTCCTCGGAGAACAGCTAACAACGACGCCAATCCGCGGGCACTGCGAAACGTTAACCGTCGTCCACGAAAATAATCCGCGCGGACACTCGTGCAGTCGAACCGTCCAACATGGGCCGTTGGAGTGGACTGGTGAGGTGGACTAGCGTAGCGGAAAGCTGCACACAGGTGAGACTGACCCGCAGTGGTCTGGCGTGTTTCAGTCTTCCTTCTCTCTCTCTCTCGCTTGGGCGTATCGTCCAGACGTAGAGTGGAGGTATTGCGCTGCGTAAGGTTAGTTCCAGGGGGGAGTCTCCATTATCGAAGGGCGGTACTTTGGCGTAGTCACGTGATGGCGATTGGGCGGCGCCAACCAATCATGGGCGAGTCTGCGCGCCCCGAGTCCACTGCCTCATGATGGATCACCAGTGTGAATTTTATTTTTCGTTCCTTCTTTTTATCTGGCACGCTGCAGTTGACACTTATCGTCGCGGGTAGGAGTCGGGTATTATATCTCGGTACCCACCTTCTATGCTATCCAGAGGCAAGCAACCTCCGCCCTTCTATCCCTTGGATAGGTTGTTTTGTGCCTTCTGCCTTTTTTTCCTTCCACGCTCTTGACGGGTCTTTCTATGTACTTGCGTGTCTCGCTCGCCTCGAGGTATCAAGGTACCAACATCCTGCGTTTTTATTATAACTTGACGGTTGATAGTTTAATTATAGTTGATCCACTGTGTACATAATCAATTCAATTTTATTAAATACGTTAAAACCTTGAAAATCGAGTTGTTAGTCGACAACTAAATTTATGGCCGTCGTATTATTTTCTAAATACAGATTTTTAATGAGAGAAATACAAATTTATAATATAATTATGGAGTAAGTGAAATACATTAGCAGATAGTTTTCGTGTAGACAGGTAATGTCCAAAAAAAAATGAAGATAGATAATTTAATTTGGTAGCTGTGTCACGCTAATAAATAAGAAAGATATTTCGGTCACAGGCGCGCGACGCACGAAACAATTTGTGACTTTTCAGACTACTAGGATATTCATCATCTTCACGTCGTCGAAACCCTGACATGACAATACACTACTTCTAAAGGTAACGAAGGACTAGGTCACATTCGACGCCGCGTCTCTGGAAAAATGGTAAACGGTTTTTAAATTTATAATTTTATTTTCCACAGCAGTTCCATTACTTAAAATATATTCTATTTTTGCTAATATATTATTCATTAAATATAAAAGTTTTGTGTCTATTAGACTGAATTGAATTCATTACATAGTTAAGTTTATTAAAATTAAATATATATTTTATCAATAAATTAAAGAACGTAGTCTAGTAGTTTGGTAATTACGCATAATCTTACAAGATTATAAGAAATATTTCTGCAAACAATATTTTTTTCTTTTGACTTGTTAATTTCTATTAAACAATATAGAATTTGTTATATCCTTAGTAACTAGCGTCTGGCTTTTATTGCCCCTTCTTGCGCCTACCATTTGATGTTTTATGTGTAGAGCCTTAAAAATTATAATTATAGTACGATATTTTTTTCTTTAAACTTAATACACGTGCATAAAGATTTCATTCTTTTGCCGTATTGCTTGTATTTTAATAACAATTTTTTAATGAATTTAGAGCTATCCTTTTTTAACAAGAATATCACAGCATTAGAATGTTGAATAATTGATGACTAGATACAAGAAAATAGATGTGAATTAAATTTGAGAATGATAGAATATACAAGTTATATAAATCAATATGAAGTATAAGATCGTCAATACAGTCCGAGTAGGATGTAGATAGCTCAATGGTTATTGTGTGAATTTTTATACTTGTGTCGTTTCCAACACGTCCTGCGTGCCGAGCAGTGTCGGTCTTTAAACACAGTTTCATTGGTGGAACAGTAAAATTCACATATTTTTTAAACAAAAAGTATGTGAATTTTATTAAAAAAGTATGTGAATTTTACTGTTAAATGGTACCGGTAAATGATCTTACGTTTGATGGTGGTAAGTAATCTACACACTTGATTCCCCCATTGTCACTGTAAAGAACTTATTGCGAAAAGTCTTAACAAAATCTATAGTTTCTAATTATTTTGAAATAAATCTCAAAGAATCCGAGCGTGAAAGTTAACAGTAGAAATATACGAAGCATCTTTTTATGATGCAATTTTAGCAGGTCGTATCTTTTTTAAATAGCATTAAACATTTGGTATATAATTTACATAATTTTTTCTCCACTTTTTTAAATTATCAATTGTACACTGAGAACAATGTTCATCGGATAAACCAGTTAAATAGTGTTTCCGATTAATTTTTCCGATACGTTTTCCGATTAAATTATGGATACATCCTATGAAATTTGATTGAACAACCGATCACATCTTTCATCGGATATACAGTTTAATCGGATATATCCGTTTGTTATTATGTAATTGGATTATCCTATTATATTTAATCGGACATTTTTCTCAGTGTGCTAATAGTCACAATATTATGTTAACTGTCGAAGAAACGTTGTTCCGATTATTATTTAACGGCCGAATCGTGAACATTTTTGGCAAGAGGGGGACCCAAGGAAAGTGACAAGAGCTCGCTCGTCCGAAGGACGCGTGACGGGCCCATGGGATATCTCCTACCCCATGCGAGAGCGCAGTGACAGGATGACACATTCCACCGTGAGAGTTTTAGAAGCATGGTCCCGTATCAGCAGTTCAGTCAGAAGAGCTTATATCGAGGGCGCCACCTGCGGCCACCCGCGACATCCGTCCCGTTCCGTACATCAGACCGGGGAATCTTCATCTTGATCGAGCCGCAGTGACGTTTGATAGTTCTGATTCCTGCTGTCGGCTAATCTTTTTCACTCGAACGCGTAGTTACATACCTTATCTCTATCGCAATGTAATTCAGGCTTTTCGTACTTTTCAATTCAGATGTACTCTCACACTTTTCTACAATATAAATTATATCGTTAGTATAAATAAATACGAGACCCCTCAGTGCCGTTAATATTAAATCAGTGTTCTTATACTTAGGACGAGTTTTTAGGAAATACGTTGTCGTTTTGTTCCAAGTACATATCGGTAATTTTTTAATTTTACAATTAGCAAAAACTGAAGGGTACCTGAATCAGTAAGTAATAAGACTTTCTTTACTAATTCTTTAGTTACGTGTCGTGTAGATTTTTTAATAATGTTTATAAAAATATTTAGGTTGTGCAACCTGCGTGTCAAAGGAGCGCCAATGCGCATATAACGTGGTTTTAATGCATGTTTTATTACATTGGCTTTAAAACAACATTAATTGTGTGTTTCAAATGCGCTAATTTAACATGTCTGGACATAATTGGACAGGGTTGGGAAAGTTACTTTATAAAAGTATCTAGTTACAGTTATCTCAAAAAGTAATGAATCGTTACTTTGCAGTTACTTTCTTGCAATGAAAATAAAAATATCAAATCTGCGTTTAAATTATTAAGTGTCGATGAAAGCGTTTATGTGCAAATGCAAGACCTACTGCGATCTGTGGAGATTTAAAAAATATATAAAGTAACTATTAATGTAACCATTAAATTAGTTACGAGTTATCGAAAAAATGTAACTGAGTTAAGTTACAGTTACGGATGGAGAGAAAGTAACGAAGTTAAGTTAAAGTTACCAAAAAAAGTAACTGTAACTGTTACTGTAACTTCATTACAAGTAACGAGTTGCTTCTCAACCCTGTATTTGAGAGAGAAATATATATATATACATTCTTTATATAATTCTCTATATTTGTACATGCTTATGCATGAAAAATTATGCATAGGAGGTTAATGATAGTTTTTTGGAATGCGTTGCCATAATATACATTAAATGCGCATCTAATGCGGGACAAATACGTGCATAATATGCCAATTTTAATGTACATTTACAGCACATTATACGCGCATTGGCGCTCCTTGGGTAATTTAACGTAAAATTAATAATAATTAGTGCCTTGTCTATCGAAGTTTCTATATTGTTATTGAGAAACACAGTAGAACCGAGACATATGAAGACGATCGCTGCACGATTTTATATCGACGAGGCATAAAGTGATTTCTCGAGTGAACATTTGGAAGTCGTGTTTGTCGGAATTTGCGGGGATTAAAGTGGTAAATTTGAGTTTAGCCTGATCTAATGTTGGATAAATATCAGCACCTTTCTTGCCGGACGACGCGCAAACTTTGCTTGGGGTTCTAATCCTATTAAACAATTATAGTCTACTCAATCGGTCCAGTACCCGTCTTCTCGTGCGGCGCCACGCTGAGATTTGACGTGGGATGAGGCACCTGCATTGTCATGCTGAGCTATAGTCGTTTTGTTGCAGGCCTGACTTTTATCTGCAAGCCACAATAAGCCATCGCCTTCTGAAGTGCTTCTTTTTTCTCTTTAAACTCCTCCACTCCCGTGACTGCGTTGTTTACTTATAACGTAAATTAATTCCTTCATTAGCAGTTTATGTCACGTTATCGCACTGAGAAAAATTTCCATCGGATAAACCAATCAAATAGTGTTCCCGATGGTTGATTTTTCCGATGAAATTTGCAGTTACCGATGAAATTTGATTGAAAAACTGATCATATTTTTCATCGAATATACAATTTCGTTGGATATATCCGTTTGTTATTATATAATTGGATTATCCGATTACATTTAATCGGACATTTTTCTCAGTGCGGAAATTAATGTGTTTTATTCAAAATTATCAAGTAAAGAGAAAGCAATTAAAGTTACGAAATAAGTTTAAATCGTAAAGTGAGAAATATTGAACGTCCTATCTGACAATGTTTTGTGGTGAGAGAGATTAGGGAGCTGATTCAGAAGCTTTGCTTCAACGATGTTTAACAGAGAAGCTAATAAAAACTGCAAAATATCTCTGCTTTTCTGTCTGTTTGTGGAGAAATATTTACTCTTTGAGAAACGTAGTGAACCTCGACTTCTGTCAACTGCTTGAGATGATATTTGAAGAGCGCCTAACGTTAATTGTCCAGCGCTCCCAGATGTCACGTCTTAAACAGCACGTTTTCGGATATTGGCCCGTTGTGTCCGTCAAAGAACCAGTCACAACAATTCAGCGGGTGTCCATCCACTGACGAACAGACAGCTGCCTATTGAGAGAATCGCATGGGATTTCTAGAAGGATTCCGTCTTTATAAAATGATACACCACATTCCACTGAAACGGTGTCACTTTCTGCGAGGAAAACGGGAGGTTTGAAACCACGTGAAATAAAAGAAGGAAGAAGATACGAGTTAAAGAAAGAACCAAAATTCCGAATAAGACTTTCCTTTAAGGGAAAAGAACTTTTTCCGTTTTGTTAAATTTTATTCTATTTAATATAAGCTATTATATTTACAAAAAGTAGTAAAACTTCACTGAAAAAAAATTTTCTCTACCCTAGCTAATCATGATTTGCTAAAAATATTT